CAATTATTATTTGACCATGACACAATACTTTGTGTACTGTTGGTGTTAGTTCCCTCCATGGATACAGAGATACAAGTAATTTAGAAATTTCAGATGTGTATTCCCCAAATCGATTTTCATTAATTTTATGTTTACTATTCAGTGCCATTAAAATAGTTTTAACTCTTCGAAGCAACTCCTTGTCGATTCCAGTTATTTTTGAAGTAATTTCAAAATCACGAAAAAACCTTCTCGACGTATTACCGTCATTTGTACTACCGCAACTTGAAAGTGGTTTGTCGATGTTTAATCCCATCTGAACTTTAAATTCTTCTTGGATTATGCTTTTTTCCGCAGCTCTCAGTTCTTTCAATTCTTCATTATTTTTTGTTGATTTAGTAGGATAGTTTGTTTTTTTTTCCTGGATCGCCTTGTATGATGGTAATATATTGTGTCCTTTTTCATGCAGAGCTTTCCTTAATATTTGGTACTTATTTCGACTGAGACCCAGTTCCAACATAAGCGTTATTGCTTCCTCTTCAGTAAAATTTGATTATGATGTTGGAGTTGGTATACTTTCCACAATTCGCTTAAGTCGTTTTGGTGATGCATTAGGAAGAATAGTTGCAATATGTACGACATCCATATGTTGGTTTTCCTTTTTCAGCATTTCGTTAAATGTATCAGCAATTTCCTCATTTGAGATTGAAAAAAGTTTTTGTGTGACCCTCTTTTTTTTACCTTGAACATAAGTCTTCGTATGACTTGCAAGGCGCTCCTGTTGATATGTTGTAAGTTGAGATTTCCGTAGTAGTTTCCATCCAACTACAAAATTTTAATCGAAATTTCTTTTGATTTCCATCCACAGACTTACTTTTTACATCAAAAAGTTTTAAAAAATTTTCAATTTTTGATATGCCTGTTTTGTCTACTTTTCTACTATATGTAGTTTTTATATAATTTGAAATGTCTTCAATTCTTTCTGGCCCTTTTGAAGATATACTCCATAAAACGGAACACAACTCTTCGTACTTTAATGTAATCTTCATTGTAGATTTATTAAATATGGTACTTAAAATCTGAGAAGTTTACTTATATACCAATTCTTGTCATTTCCGATACAGCTATTCCAAAGTAAAAAATTACGAATTGTCTACCTATTAACATTTAGGACTATATTACTATAACCTGTAATTCAGTCATTGATATTTCTTATTAGTGAATGAATCGAAATTATCATTACCTGTATATTTTTACCTACATGCTCATAAACGAAACAGAACGAAATGATCTGTCGAAAAAATTTAGGTAAAAAATGGTTATAAATTTTTGAAAATTCAAGCATAATAGGACCTTTCAATTATAAGGATAAGCAAACAAATAGAAAATAGGTAAATATAAGATTTAAATATGTGCTGTCATACTTAATACTAAAATATGAAAAAGATGAAATTAAAGGACACAGGTTTAAATGAACATATTTTTGAATGTAATTGAGATATTGGCTTGAAATTTTTCGTAAAGGGTCGAGAATTTCCATATCTAACTAAAAAATTATATTAAGGGATAAATATGGACTAAATTGTTGTAGCTATCTGCGATCCTATTAAAATTTTGATATAAATCATAGTTTTAGAAATTAAACAAATATGTAATATATGACAAAATCTTTATTTATGAACAAAACTCAATTAAATTTTCAACGCTTGTTAAATTTGTCATTTCAAATAAGAATATGCAAAAAAAAAATTGAAAAGGTCAAAGGGCATCCCGCAATTCCCAAAAATAGGAATGAAAATCCCAAAAATGGGATTTTTTACTTTTTTGCCCATAGGGTCCACATTTCTTTCAGGGCTGGGAAAATACTTTTGAAGTAAATAGAAAACATATTGAGGTTTCCAAAACTGCTTTCAGTTTTCTGATCCCAGCTTTGGGATTTTAGAACATGTCGCCCAAAGTTGAAGTTTTGATAAAAGATAGGTCATATTCGGAAGGACGCAGTGGCAACATTTTCAAAAAATAGGACAAGTTTTTTACGCCAAAGCGTTCTGCGTAAAGATACCTTTTAGAAAACTATAAAATTGTTATATGTTCTTAATAAAAATTTTATTTTATTAATAAAAGAGTTAAGACACATTTTTGGCAAAAAAACGCCAAAAATCTAAAATTTTTTGAATTTTTAAATTAAAAAACGTATATTTTTGGATCTGTAAACGATATTGATCTGAAATTTTTTGTATATTATTGGAAATTTTGTTGTCTAACTAACAAGAAAAAATTGAGTCCATTTGGTCCAAAATTACGCCCGGTATTCAAAAAAAGGCGGATCAAGGTATGGTAAATTTTGTATCACTAAATTTTTAAATGCCTATAACTCGGATATTATAAGAGATAAGTAGTATGTCCAAGCATGTTTTTTCAAGATCTCGTCGAGCGCTTTCACAAAATATAAAAATCTTTGTATTTGGGTGAAAAACAAAAAAATGGCACGAGTTTAAAAATTTTACATGTCGTAGGTACCCTACTTTGAGCCGCCACAGCGCCGTCCCTGGGGCATCTGCAGGGTTCATCTTCAAAACTTAAACTCGAATACTCCTTGGCTTCGCTCACGCCAAATTTTATCCCGATCGGATCAGCCGTTTAGAAATGCCAGATTTATTTCCAAAAAATTTCCATTCTGCCCCACTGTGCAATCGTGTAAACACAAAGAATATTAATCATACTTTTATTCTCTTTTTTCATACGGATGCAATTGCATATTACTTTTTCATTAGACTTTACGTACGTAAAGTGTTATCGTGTAAAGGCCCCTTAACACAAAATATTCAAATGCTCTGTTAGCACAACCTTACCCCATGTAGACAAATATTTATTATGCTAAACGTCAACTTGTTACTGTGATAAAAAATTAGCAGGTAGAGACAGCATTTATTGGCGTTATAGCGTCGTTATGACAGTGTTGTCTAAACAATTGTTTAGACAACGTTGTCTCGATAACATACATCATAGTATTGTAAAATTTTTATAGAATTTTGTTTTTGTGCAATTAAAATTGAGTTTTAACATAAGTTTTAGTTAGTGTTTATTTAAAAAATTTGCATTTAATTTCAATAGTTTCTGTAAAATATAACATTATTTCAGTAAAATTATCTGGGAGTTGTCGTGATAAAATCAGCATTTTGCTACTCCTATGCATTAACATCAACAAAAAACTGACAATTTTTCTGCCGACGTTTTGTCAAAAGCTGTTATAAATATTTGTCCAATACAGACCTGGCGTTATTATTAATATACCATGATAATTAATATATATTGATCTAAACGTTCATTATTTTACGAAGGGCACTTAAAAGAGAATTGAGAATAAACCCTGCGACTTGTCTCTTCCAATCATTACGACGTGAGAGCAGAATAGTGCTGAGCTACACAAGTAAACTTTTTTTGGGAAACTTTTGATTTTGTGTATGAGAGAATGAGAAATAAATATCACTCATCTTTATCGCGGTACGGAGTTTCTCGTATTCGGAAACTTGTTTTGTTATTCTTCTCATTCCTATAAAAGCAAAAGTTTATATGTGTAGACATTAAGAAAACTTTAAAGGAGAAAAAAGTTTCTCAACTAAAGTAGAGAAGGACATAGAAATAAAGCAACTGCCAAAATTACGAACGTATACAAAAGCAATGTCGCAATACGCTTAAAAATTGGGGTGTTTTGCTACTTCCCTTTCTTCTTTTTCCCTCTCCATCAAACTCGTAAGGCATGACATGTTTCCCTGTCTCAAAAGTTACCATCTAAAACTGCTCTTTGTAACAAAAACAACAGTTCTAAAACAAGTTTTGCCTTACTTTATTAATACACTGCTACCTACCTGCTTAAATTTGTATCGACTCTATCAAAGACTGATGCTTTGTTTACAAACCTGAATATAAAAATCTAGGTACGTTATTAAAAATATTAGTCTGTGTAGTGTTATATGTTAACATAATCAATATAAACAGAGTTATAGTTTAAAATAACTTCTAAAAACTATTTTATAAGTAGAAACTAATTAAATTATAATTTATAAATTACATACATATGTACATGTATCTTTAAAAATGACTTGAAGACAAACAAGTTATAAACACTTGATATAAAGATCATTGTGACTTGGTTATAAATCTTAAAAGTATTGTAGGCTTATTTAAAATAAGTGAAAATAGACATAAAGCAACTCAAAAGTTACCATCTAAAACAGCTCTTTGTAACAAAAACAACAGCAAAATTGTGACAGATGGTTAGTGAATAATAGAATCAAATTTCCCGTTGTTTTTGGAGATGTAGATGTTGTAGAACAAGTTTTGTCTTTACTTTATTAATACACTGCTACCTACCTGTTTAAATTTGTATCGACTCGATATAAGCCTGATGCTTTGTTTACAAACCTGAATATAAAAATCTAAGTACGTTATTAAAAATATTAGTCTGTGTAGTGTTATATGTTAACATTATCAATATAAACAGAATTATAGTTTAAAATAACTTCTAAAAACAATTTTATACGTAGAAACTAATTAAATTATCATTTATAAATTACATACATATGTATATGTATTTTTAAAAATGACTTGAAGACAAACAAGTTATCCACACTTGATATAAAAATCGTTGTGACTTGGTTATAAATCTTAAAAGTGTTGTAGGTATATTAAAAAAAATTTAAAATATCAAGTTTTACCATATACGTTGTTATTAACAAAAATAATAATAAAATTAAAATGTATAAACAAATAAATTATAATATATCGGATAAAAAAGTTTAGAAACTATTTTTGATTTACAGAAATATTTACATATGAATGTATATACATACATATATGTATTGCTAAGTTGTTACATATATACAGCCACTTCAAGCTAAACTCGGACACTTTAATAAAATAAATTTAATAAGTTAACAAAAAAAAAAAAAAACTAAAAATAACTACTTCAACTAACTATTAGGCTTTGAGATATTAATATTTAACTTATTTATAAAATTAATTTTTATCATATTTTTAAATCATAAAGTGTTTTTAATATTTAAAATTTTTGGATATATAAAATTTGTTGAATCGAATTTTATAAAATGCATATTACAGTATAGCATGGACCACTTCTTACGAAATTCGATAGGCTTATTTCATGGACGGATAACATTGTTACATCATGTAGGTCCCTGTAGGAAATAAAATAGTCGGTTGATAAAATAACTATTTTGCAAATGACTATAAATTGGTTTAAATCTCATGCAGATATCAACCAAACATAAAATTTAAAAAAATATGAAAACAAAAGAAGTATGCCATGAAATCAAATGTCAATCAAAGCGAACAAAGTCTTTTATGTGGTACTCAATTTTAATAAAAAATAACGAGAAAAAACAATTAAATATAACTGCCTTATGCAAAGTTAAAGTCAACAATGGTTTACTACACACTTTTTCCAAATAAAAACAGGTTTGTGATAAAACTATTAAAGATATTGTTGCATATAAAATAGTTCATTAAAATAAATAATGTATAGTAAAAGGCACTTAATAATAATATATTTTGACAAAAATTAACTTAAATAAAATAGTTTACAATTGAATTTAAAAAAAGTGTTTTTTTTTTAATAATTTGGTATAAACCAATATTTAAATAACTTAATTCTAACTAACTACAAATTAGTTATAAATAAGTAATTTGTAGTCAATTTAATAGTCATGCAGAAATAGTCCATTGACTACCACCTATAACATGCCTATGTTTAAATAATGTGTCGGCGACAGGGAGTCACTTTATCCACTAGATGTGCTTATTAAAAAAACAGTTTAAAGTTACTTTAAAATTAGTTTGACTTCCTACAGGGCGTGTTACTAACTTCAATACATATGGGACGAACGACGAATTTCGTATAGCACAACGAACTAGTCGACAACAATTCGTGTCGTAAATTCGTCGAATGAAACACAATCAAATTATTCGTACTGCGAATTCATTTCAAAATATGTTTGTTCGAAATTGGAAAAAGTAAGAAAAAGGAACAAATTTCGAACATTATTTCGAAATTAGAAAATGTAAGAAATTGGCCTCGAAAAGAACTAAAATTATATTTTTGTGAATATCCCCAATTTCGAGATTATTTTAGCAGTTTCAAAATTTTTTCGATCAATACTTCAAATTTTAGAACGTAATTTTAAATATTCCACGACAACTGGTTTTAATGGCTTTAAAAATTTTTCGCACTTAAGTTCGAATTTTCGAAAATTTTATTTTTAGTTTTTATGACCCAGGGATTATTTTAAGAGCAGAAAAAATTTTTCGAACATAACTTCGAATTTTCGAATATAATTTCGAATATTCGAACATAATATTGTATTGTCATTAGCTGTACTCTCAACCGCCAAATTTCAGCAAATTCGGGCTACCGGAATTGCTCTTAAAACAATTTTCCCCAATTAATTTGTCGTTCGTCTGCGTAAGAAATAGAAATAAACCTATCGCATAGTTCGTTACGTACAACGAGTTTCGTCATACGCAATGATTGTGTACATTTTCATATACCCAAGTGTGTTCTCGTTCGTCCCATTTGTGCGTATACTAATATGCAAAATGCCGTCACAAAGTATACAGACTCAGTAGTTCGACTAAGCGTCAATGCACACGTTACACTAATGTGTAACCATATGGTTGACCATAATTTCTATATATTGGGTTATTTATCACCAACGTACTCTTCGTAAACGAGAGCAAAGACAGTCGTCACTTTACTGTACCGTAGGTAAACATGTGAGGGGAAACTTAAAAATTGTTTTTTTTCCATTGAACTTCAGAATGTATGTTTTCCACTAAAGTTTAACCAGCTGATTGTACCCTATTTTAATGTTTTTGGCGGGAATCGAAAATAGTAATTATCTTTGAATTTTGTTCATACATACATACATACATACATACATACATACATACATACATACATACATACATACATACATACATACATACATACATACATACATACATACATACATACATACATACATACATACATACATACATACATACATACATACATACATACATACATACATACATACATACATACATACATACATACATACATACATACATACATACATACATACATACATACATACATCATACATACATACATACATACATACATACATACATACATACATACATACATACATACATACATACATACATACATACATACATACATACATACATACATACATACATACATACATACATACATACATACATACATACATACATACATACATCTACATACATACATACATACATACATACATACATACATACATACATACATACATACATACATACATACATACATACATACATACATACATACATACATACATACATACATACATACATACATACATACTACATACATACATACATACATACATACATACATACATACATACATACATACATACATACATACATACATACATACATACATACATACATACATACATACATACATACATACATACATACATACATACATACATACATACATACATACATACATACATACATACATACATACATACATACTACATACATACATACATACATACATACATACATACATACATACATACATACATATCATACATTCATACATACATTCCTACATACATACATACATACATACATACATACATTCATACATACATACATACATACATACATACATACATACATACATACATACATACATACATACATACATACATACATACATACATACATACATACATACATACATACATACATACATACATACATACATACATACATACATACATACATACATACATACATACATACATACATACATACATACATACATACATACATACATACAAAATGTGTAAATGATGGTCAAATATTTAAACTTTTGCTCATATTTATTAAACTGAAAACGATATTTAAAAAAGTTTTATGTTTTTTTTAAAACTGTATTTATTGAAGATATTTTTAGACTAAAATAAATTAAAATCCACTTCTATCAATACCCTTTTAAAAAACATAAACATAACTTTTTTAAATATCGTTTTTGTTTAAATATTAGACCAAAAGATTAAATATTCTACCATCATTTACACATTTTTGTCTCGCACTGTACATTAATACACACATAAAAAAATCTTTGTTTTATTTTATGATTGTTCCCAAAGTATTTTTAATCTATCGATGGCCCTATAATATACGATATGAGGTATCGCTTGAAAAGTTTTATGAAGCCATGTCTAATGGTGTACAAATTTTGCGAAATTGTGCATACATTTTATTTATATTAATGAAAATCCTAAAAATTTTATTTTTTTGGAATATGACAACTTGAGCAAACGGTTATTTATGATTAATACATCATTGGACGCGGCTCCCTTTCAAACTATACCCCATATTGGATATATTGTTTCGAAACAAAACTAAAATTTTAAAAAATAATTCAAAAATACCTTTTTTTAAATGGTCCAGCTCACGAACGGCCATCGCTAGACTTAGAATATTTTGAGAATCATCATAAAACAAAGCAAGGTAAATTTTGAATGAAATTCGACACAAATAAGTTTCATACAAGCCAAAATGTCTATTAAATTTTATGAGGATCGCTCCATGATCGATCCTACCCCCCACATAAGGTCCTCTTCAAAACATAATTTTAACGTTCATTGTTGGCTTAAAAAACGAGTATAGAGATGAAATTCAACTTTTATAGGAACGTAGTATTCCTACCAGATTTTATACGGAATGGTCACTACCCCTACCCCATTTAAAGTCCCCTTCAGAAAATGAGTTTAACGTTAACTACTGTCTTAAAAATACAAGTATAGCAATGAAATTCGACATACACTATCGGACAAAATAAAGTGCAAAAGTGCTCATGCTATATTCTTTCAGCGAAAAATCGGTTAAATGATTATTGAATATGGGATTTTTTAAATATTCATTTAGTTGATATACAATGCTACAAAAATAACAATAAAACAAGATTATTCCATCTTAAATTTTTCTGTATAACATAAATAAATTAAAGTAAATTCACTTTTTTGTCGGACAAAATAAAGTGTAAATTTTATATATCATTATTTAAATTTCTTGTATATCCAAATTTTTTATCTATTTTGATTCTGATTTGAATATCTAGATCAACTTAAGACATTTTTGTATTTTTTTACCATTATTATTCGCAATCGCCTTCCCTTCCCCTTACTTTCCCCTATACGATTATTTTCCAAAGAAATCCGCTTTTGTTCGCTATTTCAGCGGAATATTTAATCAATTGCTGTCAAAAATTAATCAATTGGATTTAAGGCGATGCTCTGAGCAGGTCATTCAAATTTTTCAGTGTTTGTCTTTTAAACAGAAATGTTTTTAACCTTTGTCGTGTGTTTGAAGCCATGAATCTGTTGAGGATTAAGTCTCCCAAATCCTTTTTTACGGCATTTATTTCCTAATTTGTATTAAATACGCTCGTGAATTGCTCATTTGTTATTGTTTACTCCATTTTCACTACGATTCCCGCTCCTTAAGTTGAATAATGTAACAATACCGATAGCCATCCACCATAATGTTTAAAACCTGGGGTATTGTTTTTAAAATATTGGGCTAAATTCACACTCATTGTCGACATTTTTAAATTTTCGGTACAAATTGAACTCATCTGACCAACTACGCAAATTTGAGCTAAAAAATACAAAATTGAAAATATGGTTAAGTTGACTCTTCGTATGTGTCCAATTTTTAACGTTAGGTATGGGGAACCTAGGGGAAATTTATTCAGAAAGCTGCAGTGAACACCATGTGAGCACATTACAGTCAAATTTTAAGATCAGTGCCTTCGAAATGGACTTGTTCAACATTATATCTCGGCAAGATAATAAGCTTAAGCACTTGATAATGTTAAAAAATAACATTACTGTAGGAAAGAACACTGAAAAATTGGAATAAGTTGCTCAGAGCACCGCCCTAAATCCAATAGATTAATTTTGGACCGCAATTGATCAAAAAATTCCGATGAAATAGTGACCAAAAACGGATTTCTTTTGAAAATAATCATATGGGAAAAGCAAGGGGAAGGGGAGGCGATTGCGAAAAACAATGGGGAAAAAATTACCAAAATGGCTTAAGTATATCCAGATATGCAAATCAGAACCAAAATAGATAAAAAAAATTTGATATACAAGAAATTTAAATAATGATATATAAAATTTACACTTTACTTTGTCCGACAAAGAAGTGAATTTACTTTAATTTTAGATGTTATACAGAAAAATTTTAAGGACAATAATTAAGTTTTATTGTTATTTTTGTAGCATTGTATATTAACTAAATGATTTTGAAACAATTTTCCATATTCAATAATTATTTAACCGATTTTTCGCTGAAACAATATAGCATGAGTACTT